AAGTCCTTGTATCAGTTACCCTGTAGCCTTTCTGGGCAGCACTGGTCATCTCTAGTCTGGACCAGTTCTCCATTTCTTCTTCCTTGACCAGGATGTGTGTGCGTAGCAGGGACTGCGCTGTGTGAGCCCCTAGCTGTGTGTTTCCTTGTAAATACGTTTGTGTTCTGTAGTGCCAGCAGGGTTTTAAGGAAGTGTGTGTGTGCACTGGAGTACATGCAGCCTCCAGGGAGGCCACGTAGGTTGGGCTGAACATTTGGGAACAGTTTAGACTCCTGGTGTGGAAGCTGTCAGCTGGGCAACTTCTCCCTTCCCAAGTAAACAGGGAAGGTTTGAGGAGGAGTCGGGAGGAAGCTGGTCCCTCCCCTGTGGTGGCCAGCCATCTTCTTTGTCAAAAGCTCTCTCTTAATTATTTTGTTGCAATCAAGGAAACAAAACTACAAAAACTCAAACTTGCACCAGGCGCCTGTGGCCCACGCCTGTCATCCTAGCTACTCAGGAGACTGAGATTTCAGGATCGAGGTTCCAAGCCAGGAAAGTCCGAGTCTTTTTTCTCCAGTACTCAGAAAACTGGAAGTGGCGCTGTGGCTCAAGTGGTAGAGAACTCGCCTTGAGCTGAAGAACTGAGGGACAGCGCCCAGGCTGAGTTCAAGCCCCGTGACTGCCCACTGCCCCCTCCCCCGCCGCCCCCCCAATCAAACTTTCAACAGGTTGGCTGCTGTGTCACAGAATGTCCACTAGGGGGCAGAAGAGCACTAGATACATTCAAAACCTGCCCCAGGCTATGGGCCTGGAAACAGGTTTGTTTCCTAAGAAACAATCTCCAAGGTCCCTGACTACCCCTGGGTTCCTGACTCCGAGCCCCCAGGCACACCCCTTCTCCCAGGAAGCCTGGTGGGGGGAGGGCTGGAGACCCCCTGTGCACCCGGCTGCAGAATTCATGAGCACTGAGGGGGTGCCAGTGTAGAGGTTGGTTGCCAACTCTTCAAAAACACCTGTGAAGGGGAATTTGCTGGAAAGATACCAAGCTGCCCAGGGTATCAAAAGGAAGAGAGATGGAGATGAGGGGCCGAGGCTGAGCTTCTGCTCACAGTTGGGGTTCTGGGGAACAAGTGTAGGGTGGGGCCAGCTGGGCACTGGGTGCTGACCACATGCCTCCCCTTCCCCAGCACGCACTGACAGGCACCTCGCTGCAGGGCCCCTGGAGTCAGGGTCCCTACTGGGTGTCCACGCACAGGCGTCCAGTGCTGCCCAGTCCCCACCCCTGCAGCCCTGTTCCCTGCTGCCCCACCCTCTGCCTGGCACTGAGGCCGACCCTCTCCCAAAACCAAAATACCTGTGATAATGCACTGATAAAGGGTGGTTAGGCACTGGTGGCTGATGTCTCTATCCTATTTGGGAGGCAGAGCTCAGAGGACTCAAGGCCAGCCCGAGTGAAGAAGGTCAAGAGACACCCATCTTAACCAATTAAAAAAAGCTGGGCAAGGTGGCCTGTCATCCAGCTGCTCTGGAGGACTGTGGTTCCAGGTCTGGAGACAAGTCTCTGAGATGACATCTCCAAGCCAGACACGGTGGGACATGCTTGCCATCACAGCTAAGGGAAGATGGAGTGTAAATGAGACCACAGTCCAAGCCAGCCTGGGAGAAAGGTGAGACCTTACCTCAAAAACAGCTCTGTAATCAGGCACTGGTGGCTCACGCCTATAATCCTAGCTCCTCAGGAGGCTGAGATCTGAGCATCATAGTTCAAAGTCCATGAGACTCATCTCCAATGAACCACCAGAAAACCGGAAGTGGCGCTGTGGCTCAAGTGGTAGAGCGCTCGCCTTGAGCTAAAGAGCTGAGGAACAGCACCCAGGCCCAGAGTTCAAGCCCTACAACCACCACCACCACCACCAAAATAACTGCAACAGGGGCTGGGTGTGTGGCTCAAGCAGTAGAGCACCTGCCTAGTAAGTGCAAAGCTCCCCCTTCCCCACCTCCCCCCCCCACCTCCCAATGGTGGCCGAGTACACTGATGCCTGGGTTACAAAGCAAAGGGTGGCTGCTACTGATGGGGTTGAGACCTACTGGAAGATTCCGGGACAAGATGCTAAGGTGTGTGCTAAAGAAGGTGGGACGTTATATATTGGGGGACACTACACAGACTGTAGAGAAATGAGATCATGTCATTTGCAGGATGGAATTGGAGAAGGTCATGTTGAGTCAGAAGGCATGCTCAGAAAGCTAATGTCACAATTTTGCTCGTATATGGAAGCTAGAATTCAAAGACAGCCATATACAGGGGCATGTACATATATATGCATACGAGAGAGACAACAGAACATGATTTTAACTGGGGCAGTGTAGGGGGGTGAGGGCAAGGGGAGGGGGAAGAAAAAGGGTGGAGGCAGTACATAGTGCAGCTAGCTGTGCACAAATGAAAGCTGGTGATTATAAGGGATGGGGGTGCAAGAAAGAAAAAGCAGTAGAGAGAAGCATTCTGATAAAAACATAATATTTGCGCATCTGAAATGCCCTGGTGAAAACCAGTGTAACACACACACACACACACACACAGGAAGGTAAAACAGGCTTGGCTGGTGGCTGGGCTGAGCAGCGTGGGGAAGGCTGGGGGCATACGAGGAGGAATAGGCCCCGTGTTGTGTATTTGCATATATGCAAATAGAGTCATGAACTGAGATGGAGGGGATGTGGAAAGGGTGGGGGGGTGAGGCGGATGCAGATCCATTGTGTTCATGTGTGAAAATGCCACAGTGAACCCCATTTACTCCCCAAAGTGTCTGGGGATGTGTATGCTGTCACAAGGGGCGTGGAGTGTGGGGGGGACACCAGGGAGATGGTGCTCCGGATGCCCCCAGAGCACGGCCCGGTCCCCACACGCGCAGGGACACTGAAGGGAGAAGGTGCGCTGCGGACTCGCCTCAGGGTTGTGTAAACTTGGTGCTCACGAGATGGGCATGTGGGTATTCTTGCCATCTTTCAGGTAGGGAAACTGATACCTCGGTGTTGGCAGGGTGGGAGTGGGGCAGGGTTTACCTGGGATGGAGGAGTGTCTCTGCTGTGTGGCGCCCATGAGCGCGATCTGACAGCGTAAAGGAGAGGGGGCGGGGAGGGAATGGGGGCTGTGTGGGGTGCTGCCCACCTCGTGTCAGGCCAGCAGCAACTTCCCAAGGCAGTGACAGTGATAGAGGCAGCTCTTCCAGGGACCCAGGCTTTTTTTACTGGCCATCCTGACTTCCACGAGGACTGAGATGGCTGTTGGGGCTCCGCCCATCGTGTCTGCAGCCCCGTGTTCCCCTGCACACCTACCTTGGTGCAGGAGGCTTGGACAGGAGCCTACCCAGGGACAGGTGAGCTGTGGGCTTGCTCTCTCCCTCCCTCCCAGAACCTTAGGCAGGGCTGCCGTGAGGGGGGCAGTGGGCATTTAGTGCGCTAGCCTTGGCTGTGGGGTCTCAGCTACTGAGGACAGTCTGAACCTGGCAGGGGATCGGCTGGGACATGTGGGCATTGGCCTGGCATGTGGAAGTGACACTGGACATGAATCCACCCCTCTGGTTCATTTCACTGTGGGCCTGCTCACGGTCCCCCAAGAGGAGGACGGTCCCCCCAATAGAGTTCCTGGTCCCACCAACCTCAACATGCTCTCTGGACCAAGCCACTTCTGTGAAGACATGCTGGGAGTTGGGGGGGGGGGGCGCTTTCTGCAGATGGAGACACAGACGGGACCAGCCCTGCTCAGGACTCCTGGATCGTGGGTGTTCCCTGCTCCCCTGTGGGAGGTTGCCGAGAGTGGGGTGGAGGGGGGTCAGGGGGGAGGCAGAGCCTGTCTGGATCCCTGGGGAGCAAATGCAGTGGCTGCCGGGGCCATTACGTCCGCTCGGCCAGCAGGAGGGGGGCCGCTCTGGAGCCCCTCTTTCCTACCTCGAACTATTAGACCAGACAGACAGCATGATCATTATGGACTTCTTGTTGGAAAACAAGTGCATCTTTCCCTCCCTGCACCCCCACCCCGCCGCACCCCAAGTATGGGCAGAGGTTTCGAAGGCCACGTGAGTTACATTCGTACCTTGTGCGTGAATGAGAACAAAACCTTGGGGACTTGATATGCTGCAGTGAACACGTTCCTAAGAAACCTTCTAAGAACAATTACAGCACAAAACTATCGGCAAAACATTTTTCCAAAAAGAGAAACTATTGCATTTCATTAGGTTGCACCTCCTAGCCTAGAGGCCTGCTCCCCGTGTGGGGCCGGAAGTCCTGCGTGGCACGGGGGGGGGGGGTCACGGCCCTCCAGGGGGTCCTTGGCGTCTATGTGTCCCTAGAGAAGAGCTTTTCTTGGAAGAGGTCAAGTTGGGACTTGCTGGGGCTCAGCACTCCAGAATGGCTTATTAGAGGGAGGTGTTCTGGAAGAGTCCGTGGATCCAGCACTGCTGTGGTGGAAGATGGCTGATGACCCTGACCCCCACCGGCCCCTGGAACAAGGCCGCTCCACACCCAGCAGTTTGGCAATGAACAGAATGGACAGAAGCCCGTCGCCGATCGCTTCTGATTTTGATTGTTTAGACACGAGTGGGCCAGGTCGTGTGGCTTCCTGGTTCTCAGGCTGTGGATCTGTCTGGTGTTCTGGCCTTTGGCACGTGGAGAGGGGGGCTCGTGCCTCAGCATACCCAGGCCGTGGGGCCAGGACTCCATGTCCCATCCTGAGGAGACCCATGGGTCAGTGTGCTCTGCAGCCGCCCACAGGGCGGGGCGCGGCGGGGGAGGCTGTCCTCCCCCCGGCCTGTGCCCTGTGCTCCCCTCCCAGCTGCTAAGGGACAGGGGGGCATCCGGGGACTACCGCACCCCAAGTGACACCCTATAGTTTCTGGGCCTCAGGCCGGGGGGAGCTCCTTCAGTCAGCGTAAACATCACGTCATCTAGAGGCACTAAAGCAGGAGAGGCAGCCGAGGGAGTCCTGCTTCCCAGAGGCCGGCCACACCTTCTGGAAGCTCTGGAAGGTGCTAGATGTCCTGCAGCGGGTGGCTGGGGTCTCCTCGCTCCCGCTTCACCATGGGCTCGCCCAGGCTGTGGCCGTCCGTGTCGGCCTCGCTGCTGTGTCTGTCACTCATGTCCTCTGTGGGGCCCGCATGGAGGGACAGAGAAGCCCACGTTCAGACGGGGGCAGCGCAGATGACCTGGGACCTGTGGTGGCCGGGACGCTACCTGACCTCAGCTCCCGCCGCCAGCCCAGGCTGGGCCCACCTCGGAAGGCTTCTGACCTCTGACCTTCTGGGACTGTCACCCACCGGCCGGGGCCTGGCTGCCGAGCCTCCCCCAAGCATCACAGGATTTGGGCCAACTCCCGGGCCTCCTGCCAGCCGCCTGCCTGCCCCTGCGCTCCTAAACCCACCAGGGCCACCCCAACTTCCACGTGCTGCTCACAGGACAGTGGCCGGGGGTGGGGGTGGGGGGAGGGCTAGGACACACGCACCTTTGTCCAGCAGCGTCAGCGACAGGGAGGCGAGGTCGCTGAACTGTAAGAGAAGCCAGGGTCAGGCGCTGGGGCGGGCGGCCATCGTCTGCGGGGTCTGGTAGGGAGCCCACAGCACCTTTAGCAGAGGCCTGCTTGGGCCCTGGGCAGCCTGAGGTGCCGGCTCACCTGGAGCCCCAGGAGGTGGCGGGTGGCCTGGCCTGGCCATGGCGGTGTGGGACTAGCCACCTGCTATCCTGGCCCACGTGAGATCACACTGCCACCCGGGGCTTCTGGGCTGGGTGACCCCCAGCCCCAGGCTGTGCCCTGCCCATGAGCGCCAGCCGCCATGGGTCCGTGGCAGGTGCATTTTACCGAAAGCTCAGCAGGCATCACCTCATTTCTTTCTGGAAGCAACCCCAGGCAGCACAGCAGTTATACCCCCGAGGAAGCCCCCCTCCAAGTGCCGAAAGGGGCAGCGCAGGCACACATGCGCACTGCAGCCATGGGTGCCCATCACGTTCAGAGCACTACACAGCCAGGAACAGAAGCAGGCGGTGACCAAGCCGCAGCACGGAGGGACCCTGGGGCCACTGCGCTTGCTGGGAGCAGCAGACACACAAGGTCCCAAAATGTGTGGTTCCAGGGATCGGACGGGAAACTTCCAGAACAGGCGGATCCAGACACAGGCTGTGGACTGGTGGCCGGCCCCAGAGGGGCGGCTTCCTTCCCGACGCAGCAGAACAGGTGGTGGTGGCTGTTCGGTGAACGCCCCGACCACTGTGCCCCCTCGCCTCTCTAGGGCGTTAGGAGCAGTCGGCCGGGGATTGCGCCTGGGGCCCTGCCTTGGGGGCAGCACCCTGGCTCAGAGGAGGGGGGTGTGACGCCGAACCCCTGCGGGGCTCCCTCACCTCTCCCATGACCGCGATGGGCGTCTCCCCGGTGGCCTCAGCGACCCGGTTCTCCACCAGGTAGAACATGTACTCGTCATACAGCAGCCGGATGAGGTGGAACGAGCCGAAGCTGGCGGCACTGCGCAGCGTCAGGTCTCGGATCACCATGGAGCTGGGGGGTGGGGTGGGGCACAGAAGCCAGGAGACTCAGGGGAACACCCCCAGGCACCCAAGCTGCCCTCAGACCTGCCGGCTGTGAGGTGGGAGTTGGGGGAAGGGCAAGTGCAAAGGTCCTGAGGCACCCAGGCCAGGGTAGAGTGTGAGGAGAGACAGCGGGACCAACTGGGCTCCTTCTGGAGGGATTGGCAAACTATACAATGTTTTTTTTTTTATTTTTATGTTTTTGCAGCATTGGGATGGAAGCAGGACTTCATGCTTGCTACCAGCTGAGCCACACTCCAGTCCCTCAGCTGTACTCATGGTAGGTAGGGGCCTCACAGCCCTTGTTGGCTCTTGTTGTATTTCAGGTAGTGCCTTGTGCTTTTGCCCCAGGGCTGGCCTTGGACCTTATAAGCCATCCTCCTTCCCACAGCCTCCTAGAATAGCTGGGACCACAGGTATGTGCCACCATGCCTGGCCTTCTTTGTTTAAAATTCCTATTCGGTAGATTTCCAGTCCAGGGACTGGGCTGCCAGTGCTGTGGTGGAGTCAACAGTTGTGGACCTTTTTTTTGTGTGTGTTTGTACCAGGGCTTGAACACAGAACCTTGTGCTGTCACAGCTGGCACTTTACCACGTGAGCCACACTTCCAGTCTGGCTTTTTGGTAGTTAACTGGAGATGGAACCTCACAGACTTTCTGCCCAGGCTGGCTTTGAACAGCCACCCTCCTCCAGGTCTCAGCCTCCTGAGTAGCTGGGATCCAGTGGTGTGTTAAGGAAGTTATTGTTGGTGGTGTGAGAGGCTGCAGAGAACAGTACAGGCATTTCTGGGCCACAGTGTGGGCTCCTGCCCAGCTTCCTGCCTACCCCACCGACCAAACAGCTGTCAGCCTTGCAGGCTCCTCAGTCTCATGAGCTTGCTTCTTGAAACAAGTCTCTTTATATTGAGTTTGCATGTAATTTTACAGATGTACACTGGCTCCAGAGGGGCACCAGGCCCCTGAATGGTGGCCTCCCCTCTGCTTCTGTCCCCACACCTGCCAGCCCTGAGTGGCCTCTAAATGCCATCAGACGAAGGCCATGTTCCAGACTCTTATTTTATCTGCCATGTCATCCATTGCTCCTGTTTCATGACTTTTATTTATTTATTTTTGGGGGGTCTGGTTGTGGGGCCTGAACTGTGGGACTGGGCGCTGTCCCTCAGCTCTTCAGCTCAAGGCTAGCGCTCTACCACTTGAGCCACAATACCACTTCCGGCTTTTTTTTCTGCTTATGTAGTGCTGAGGAATCGAACCCAGGGCCTCATGCATGCAAGGCAAGTGCTCTACCACTGAGCCACCTTCCCAG